GGGAAGTGTGCCAAAAAAAAAAAAAAAAAGCGACCTTTAAGACGCAGCCACTCAGACTATTTCACGGTAAAGCAAACTTTTACAAGTATGCTCATTTAGAGGGATGCAAGAGATGACCTATTGGAAGTTCTCATACACAGAGGCCAGTGTTCTGCAGAAGATTGAATATGGGACTTAAAGGAGAACTATGAGGTGAGTGATTTACACTCATCCTCAATTTAGAGCCAACGTGTGACATTGACACCGTCGTTCGCTCACTTCCTGATCATCTCCCTGCAGAGAGCAGTGACCCGCAGTCACCACTCCCCCCAGGGATTCCCACCCTCCCTTCCCAATCCGCAGGTCTTAACTTGAGGGAAAGACGGGGAGGGGGCAGGCACTCGGGAGGCAGAGCCCGCTGTCAATCAGCCAGCGTGGTGGATCTTGACAGTATTGCCGGGATCCGCCCCAGCTGCAGTGCTCTCAGCATATAGCAGGCAATAGCCCACTATATGCTGAGTTTTGGGTCACCGGAAGACATTAGCATGTCCACCCATGACCCCGAGGAGAACTATGGGGGAAAAATGTTTTGTCCCATAGTTCTCCTTTAACATTAAAAATGAAAGTGTGAATTGACTGGACATAAATTGCATACATTCCCAACATTAAAATATCGTTTTTTATATATTATTATTATACAGGATTTATATAGCGCCAACAGTTTTGTGCCGCGCTTTACAATATAAGGAAGACATTACAATCACAATACAGTTCAAGACAAGATGGTAAGGAGGGCCCTGCCCCTGAGGGCTTACAATCTAAAATATATAGTTTATAATGAAGTTTTTCTATTTTACTAATAAAGATGTATCAAAAACTCCAGCGAAAATTAAAGCAAACTGTAACTATGATGGCCCGGTCTCTGTGCCACGTGATTAAGATAACCACTGCCTTTTTTCTGGTAACAGTTCCACTTTAAATAGAACAATATGCAATATGCAATTTGTTTTAAATAAAATGCACTGCATAAAGTGTACTGCCACCTTTGCACCCAAATTGGGACAACACCTGTTGTACATTTGTTACTCGTTGCTCATTCACATAGCACGACATATAAAATGAAATTGCTGCTAGCATAAAACATGCTCAATTCTTAACCACTTGCTGACCGGGGTGTTACACCCCCTTCCTGGCCAGGCCATTTTTCAGTATTTAACCCTGCAGTACTTTGACTGACATTTATTCTGTCATGTAACGCTGTATTGAGATACATTTTATACAATTTTTTGGGGACACAGAGCTTTATTTTGGTGGTATTTAATCACCACTCTGGATTTTTTATTTTTTACTGAATAACGAAAAATGTACAGAAAAAATTGTGAAAGAAAAACGTTTTCCCTTTATTATGTTATGAAACATTTACGACTACCGAAAAGTTTGGTAAAATATATCCAATTGGCCATAGGCGATGCTTTAAAACCTTTTACTGCTCATCAGTTTACTGTTAACAGTGATTGATGGCCCTAAAATTATTGCTCACACTCTGACCTTTGCGGTGATATGTAACATGTGCGGTGTAATGGGGGCAAACATTGTTTTGACATGTAGGCGCACCCCATGCATGTTCGCAGATGTATTGTTATTAGTCAGGGGGCTAAGAAGCCCCCTATGCGATATAAATTTACAGAGATGGAGACATCAAGGGTCTCCAAGACCCCTTTATGTCACCAAGGGTCCCCCAAAGAAGCTGATGAAGACCCGCTTCATCAGATTCTGTAGCTGGAGAGTGACAGCTGAATGCGGAAGTGATGTACTGTACATCACTTCCGTATCCTGACACCAGAGCGGAGATCAGAGGGAGATTGTGTACTGACCTCCCTGCACAGAGCCGCCATGCCGGTCCCGGGCCCGCACAGAGCACAGGGAACCCAGGATCGCCTTCGGCGGGGGGGTGCATGGAGGAACAACATATAAGCGATCAGGAGGCTCTACAGCCCCCAGATTGCTTGTATGTAAATAGACATTGCTGGCTATGTCAAATTTTGACAGTTTCACGCTCGTGCGCATAAGCAGGCGTGGGCACAGGCACGATTTAAACTGCTCACCCAGGTCTGGAAGGCGCCCGTCTGGCCGTTTATGTATGGCTGGCGGGCAGCAAGTGGTTACAGAAAAGTTTTTCTGTGTACTAAATTTTCCTCTGGAGAGGGTAATGTTTATGCTAATGTACCCTGTCTATACTGTGCTGGCTGATTTCACCATCACTGATAAACTAGATTTGAACACTGTCTGTCCTAACAAAGGGATAAAGATCTAGAAGTATTGTATGTTAATGAGGGGGAGCTTAGTTTGTCCCTAGTCTTTCTACTAGAACAGAGAGTTTCCCATTACTGAGAAGCTTGAAAAGGCCTGTCCTGATATTCAGAGGCCTGTCCAGAGATACCGTAAAAGGTTAAAAAAAAATGTATATATATCAAAAAAAAATATTTGTAGGTATGCTGTGTAAATAGGAACCCAAAGATATAGTCAGGGTTTTCTCAATTTTGCCTGCGAAAGTGGAATTAAAATGTAATTGTGAGCTTAAAATATCAGGACAGTCCATACACAAGCAGGCAGAAAATAGGCGGCTTGGTTTCAAGCTGTAAATACCTCATGTAGTACTCCATAACCTTCAGCGACTTATGCCTGAACGTACTCATTCTGAATGACACCATTTAAAATAATAGAAACTGATAGCAAGTTGTTTTTTTATTTCCTTTCTTGGATTATATTGCCAGACGCTTTCTGATTAGCTTCTGAACAGACCAACCATGTAAAGCCCAAATAAGGTCTCACAACCTTTTATTTTTTTCTCTCAGTGATGCTGGGTCCTGCCCTAACACTCCAATGCTGTATGTAGGCAGAGCTGAAAAAAGCCATATCCCTCATCAAAGGCTTACTCAAAAAAGGGGTGCGTCAGATCAGGTCTGTTACTGAACGCAGAGAGCACTAAATTAAGCTGTAGTAGAGGGCTCAGCAACTCCAGCTGTGGTAGAACTACAAGTCCCATGAGGCATTGCAAGACTGACAGTTACAGGCATGTCGGGTTTGTAGTTACGGCACAGCTGGAAAGCCGAAGCTGCCCACCCTTGCTCTAGTGCCTATTGAACTACATAATTATATCTAACCATCCAATACATCCCTGCAACAGGAAAGTGGAGGTTAGACAATTAAAATAGGGGTTGAGGCAAGACTATGAAAATGGGGGTTGTTAATATAATGTCTATTGGGCTGAATATTTATTTATAAGACATTACATTTGGCTTTAACAATACTAGGAAAATGCTATAGGCATTTGGTAAGCAACCAAAGCATGGAAAATTATGACAGCCCTGGAACTTGCACCTTAGAAAACAGCCACCAGTTGCTGCTGCGGCAGTACAACTAGAAAATGTTCTGCATTCAGTATTATATAAATCCACTTTAGATTTCCCCATTCAGAAGGAATGACAATCTCACAGGAACAAAAATCTTACCTTAGTTCTGGATATACGTTCTCCAAATACCATTTGAAAGGTTTGCAGCCCAGTTTTTTCTTCAGCTCTGTGCGGCTCTGAATACTATGAAATAATACATGTGACAAGTTATCAAAATGAAAATAGTAAAGCCCAACTGCGGACAAAATGTATTTCATTTTGTATAGAGCAAGGAAGGGTTACAGCCGCTGTCAATTTTTTATTTTCATTGTGTCCCTACTGGGAAGATTTTCCTTCACTTCCTCTCAGTACTGCCTCTCCAAGAGATAAGGGATTACTTCTGACAATGTTTTTTTTCCTGCCTGTGCCTTCCTGTCCCAAAGACAATGGCACCCCCGTTTCCTGAACAGGTGTCACAGGGACGGAAAGTGATGCAAAATCTCCCTAATGAGATCACAGACAGAAAATAAAACCTGAGAAATGTAAACTCTTCCCAATTCTTTCCTAAACAGTGGCTTCTGTGGAATATATTTAACATATTCTGTATAAATAAGGAATCCGGTGTATTGTTACTTAAATGTTGGTGTCCCTTGCGTATTCCAGGTCTGTGCAGTATGTCAGCCTGAAACCACTGCACCTTACTTCTGTAATAAAGAGCGGTCACTGCTGCTCTCTCTCCTTGTGCAGGGTGACTGGTCTTGTATCCACCCCCACCCCTCCACCACCTGTATTTTACTGCAGGCAGTCTGTAATGGGTGGACCTACTTGGTACCTCCCACAGCGCTGATATCTGCAAAGGCAATGTGCAACACGGCGATTATTCAACGGCTACTTTTACAACATAATATCCGGGTTAGCAAAGGCATTTAGGGCTGACAGACAACTGGCTTAAAGCCCTTATTCAGGCAGAAGTGTATTATGATTTTACTCTGAACAGTCTAAGGTTGTTTAGTGGTGTACCCCAAGCTTTAGTGTTGGCACCCCAACTTTTGAACCTATTAATAAATGTTTTAGAGTTTGGAATTAAAAGTACCATTTGTGTGTTTGCAGATGACACTACGCTATTTTGTGGACTAAAAGTCCTTACAAGAGGTGTCAAGCTTACAAGTAAACCTGATTGCACTGTGTGACTGGGCTAAATAGCGTGGATGGAGGAACATTCTATATTTATTTTTCATTCACCCCGCAGACTGAACAAACCCCCCCCTCCCAAATAATTATATATATATATACACACACACACACACACACACACACACACACAACTATACATACAGTGTATGCCCTACTTAAGACATAGAAATGTGAAATAGACTCCCTCAGAAACCACTCCGAGCCAGATCCGCAATAAAAAGCTGGATGCATTCCTAAATGCACAGAATATAATTGGATATTAGCATTTAAAAGCAACACCAGAAATTGTTGATCCAGGGAACATCCTACTGACGTACGGGATCAGGAGGGATTGTTCCCTCCCTGTTCCATTCTTTATAAGGGTTTTTTCCCCACTTATGCTGGATCAACTGCTGGGGTTTATATTTCTATTAGTTGAACTTGATAGTTTCTTTTTTAAACCGGTGTAAAAATGACAATCTTGCAGTGTGATTACCGGGAGAGAGAAGACTAAGGAAATGCGCTCTCCTGCCTGTTGCTGACTGATGGCATGATCTTAGCAAAGGTAGAATCACTTGAGCTCAAGAAATGCTTTTTGGTTGTAAAAATTATACCGATGCTGAATATTGTGACAGAAATGTATCGATACAGATTCGTCAAGGCCTGACAGGTCTGCGTTAATTAAATGAGATGAGCCAAAGTGCATACTTACTTTCCAAAAGGTACATTTCTAGCAGAGGGTACAGCTGCATAGTAAAAATTCTTGTATTCATCCATCCAAACCTCTGCTGCCCTGCGTGTATTCCTGAAATTAGAAAGCACAGTTACTACAAGATGTCCCTGAGGGAGATGTTTAACGGACCCTGTGTTTAAGTGACCCTGTAACTACATGAAAGAAGAATGACCTGTGCAAGAAGAGGCTCTATACCTTTTCAGTGGCCCATGTGTTGAAGCACTGCCGTGCTGCAGTTTCTCGGCCACTGGAAGTATTTGACCCTTTAGATGAGTCAAAAATTGGCTTCCCCTGCTTTACGCTGTGCTGCCTCCTAGAGACTCCTATGTCCTCCAGTAAACCGCAAGTGTGGAATACATCTAGCGCAGTGGTTCTCAACTCATGGGTCGCGACCCAAAAGTGGGTCGCGAGCCCAATTGCCGCAACGTTCCACACACAGGATACCCAAAAAAGTATTTCTTCTTTCAGTTTTGACCTTGTAGTGACAGGGCCACTTTAATGCTACAGCTATAATTCAAGCTCACACTACTATTAAAAACACAAACATTTGTGGGAAAAGGGAACCTTTAAGTATCCTTTTAGTTTATGCATGTGCACAATAATAAAAATATAATAATAATGTTTACAAATATCAAACATTTTTTTTTGCACATATATTTACAGAAAAAAAGTTTACTCAATCAAAATTATTAACGGGCTAGGTATGTAATGATTTTGTTAAGTAGTGGATGCAAAACCAAACATTGTTAGATAGATTTTCTTTTCATGTTGAATGTAGGTCATGTAATATTGCATTTCTGCCACTAGATGGAGCTGAGGAGCAGAGAGAATAAGTACTAATTTGCAAAAGCTGTCCAAATGAGGGGCGGGCAATTACCACTGGCAGGCCCAAAAGAAGGGAATTCAAACCAAATAAAAGAGAAGCCCTTGTAAGACAGCGGACTCTGCTAACAACTAAGGGAAGGCCACAGAGGATCAACCTGATGCCCCAGACCAGGATAGAAGAAGGTCACCGCTAGAGGGGAATGGCCTCACCTGAAGAACACTGAGCCTGAACCAGCGAAAGGCTGCAAACCAGAAAACCCACTGCAGTTAAGCCAGTGGTGGCGAGAAATTTGAAATTGGCCCAATGGGGCAAACAGTGAGGTAGCTCCTGGGGCTTTAGCCTGAATGGCCTTAAAGAGTCTTCAGAGACAGGGTCACGGCTGGGGCTGTGCCACAGCTCTATACCTAGAAAGTACTCCGCAACTAACGCAGTGCACTCCACTCTAGAACAATGCAGAGCCCAATGCCCGAAGGTCATTGTGGGCTAGCCATGCACATCCAGTCCAGTGAGGTCTGGGTATGGCCTCCAAAGCCAGGATGACGAAACACTGATCTACATAACTGCTATATAGAGACCAGGTCAAGAGTTGTCGGCAGTTTTTTTATTTGCCTAACCTCCATTAGGTGGCAGTATAACCTGTCTATGTGAATTCCTGTCTTTAGTGACCTTACACACACGCACAGTCAAATAGTTACTTTCTAGGCATTCTAAATGACTCTTTCAATGGAATTTCTAGAAACACATACATTAAGGACACAAGTAAAAGGCAGAAATACAGAACATGGTCTTATTTGGCAGTCATTTGGCTTCACTACCTAGTATCATGCATTTTAAAGAGAAATGTTACCCACCAACTTCTCATCTATCAAAGCAGTTACTTTTAAGGCATGTAACTATTAAGGGTTTTAAAGCCTCAAATGGCTGGAGCCATAGCTGATCAAAGGTGCAGCACCATGCAATAAATACAAACAGAGCATAAAGACTGTAAGGGACAGCAGGTTGTATTTCCGCTTTCACAAGCACACACGTTTTCACATTTCGGACCTTCTGGGATCAAAATAGCAGCCCTGGGGTTTAAACCTCTAAAAACCAGGTCAGTAATGACAGCTCCCAGTTTACTTTCCTCACAAGCTCCCTTTAAGTAATTTATAATGCAAAGAATATGCCAAAGCACGCCTTACCTGGCAAACACTGTTCCACTTCCTCCTGGAAATGTATATGGATGCTGTTTGCGAAATACATGTCCCACTCTACTGCAAGGAATTATCTCCAGACTCCCACCACACTGCCATACCCGGAATGAAATCTCTAATTGATAGCCAAGAGAGAAACATGTTTAGGAAGAACTCAGAACTCAAAAAAATCAGATAATGCCTGGGTTATAATAATTAGTTCATTTGCACCTTAATATATGTTTTTCTATGCCTGTGTTTTCTGCTTCATGATAACCAAAATGAACACTGAACTTTCAAGTCCAATTAGTCCTGAATTCCACTGAAAACTTTTAAAACTGAAAGTTTTGCCTAAATACATGTCTACATAAGAAGGTGGCAGTGACTCTTAAAATGTATTTTTGGGGATGAATTTTTTTATTTCATGGCCAAGGTCTTGCCAACTGTCATTTGCATGTCTGATGAGACTGCCTCGGTGGCTAGTAAAGCATTCCTTTTAACTAAGAGGGGGTAGCAGTTGGTAGAGTGCCATGAAGTCAGGAGATTTTAGGCACCGATAGCAAAGTTAAACTAAAGCAGGTGTTTTACCCTGCATCTAAATCACTTCTAAGGTCAACTTCTTTGTTAGACCTCCGCAGCACCATGAAAAAATGTAGAATTCCCAAAAAACACCTACACACAGACTTCTGTCCATGGCGCCTAGGGAAAGGTGAGATCACTGGCCTTCCAATGAGACCTCAAATCTAACAAGACGCTTCTTCATTGTGTTAGAGCGTCTTCTTGTGAGTTTTTAGATCATTAGATTTTGCCAGGATCTATCTGGAAGGCCATCACATCACTCTTGCCCAGGTGCTGCAGACGGAAGCCAAGGTGAGGTCTAAGGGAACACAGCTCAGAGAATATTACAGCAAACTGCTAACAGCACTTATGCCTACATGTTCCAAGTTCTCCAGTGTGCTCTACCAAATGAAGTTGTGGAATGACAAGCAACAGAAAAGACTGCAAGGGCTCATTTGTAACAAAGGCAATTGGAATGGCATGCAATATCACATGCCGGGAAATACACACTGGGGATATTTATCAAAACAATCTCATTTGTTTGCATTTGCTAATCTGTTGATTCTTTTATCTATGATGCAATTTAAGGACAGATTTACTTTCTGTATGCATTTGCATAACAATGTAGCAGCTATGAAAATAAACCTAACTGCATGTGTTTAAAAAACTGCTCCTTAGGACTTCCAAGGTATGCGGTTAAATCTCACCACTGAAAAAGTACTTATAGTTGTGGCACAACAGAGAAAAGAGACAATCACTATTTTCCCACACTATCATGCAAGACAAAAACTGTCGCTATTCAATTATATCATCTTCGATTTGTACAGCAGTACATTGTTCTGGTAAGAATGGGTCCCATCACTGGGAATGGATGCAGTAAGAAGTCAGCCTGTGTTACAAACCTGGCCTAGTGTAAATAAGCCCCAAGACTGTGGGAAGAATGTAACAATTGAATTGTATAGTGATTCTCTGACTTGTTAGGGCTTGTGCATCGGGCTCTTGTTTGCTTCAAATTAGTTTTGCATGCTAATAAAAAGGTCTAGGTTGATGCAAAATCCACTTGAAGCAGGTAAAAATCCAAGTCAGAAGGAGGTCAATTGCAGGTAAAATGGATTCTAAATGATCTCAGAAGCATCTCAAACTGACGCCATGAACATGGCCATCTACAGCCATACCATACATACCTAAATTTTCACCTCCCCAAACATCCATCATCATATCATACTTTCCCAGCTCTTCAAAGTATGACTTGTCCATTACAAACAGCCCTCCAGCAATCATTGGGGTTCTGGAAAGAAATCGTGAAAATATACAGTAAGAATTCAAAGGACTAAAAATGGTTTACTCAGAATTCAATGAATAAAGCAGAATATCTATCTATCGATAGATATTTATATATATATCTCAAGGAAGGTAAAGGATTGTTAGAGGACTCCATCAGCACATGTATGTGGCTAATAAACATCTAATCTTGCTGTGTCCTTTGGTCAACATATGCCAAGGCTCCAGAATAAATAATCTCATCATGAGCCTTAAACATACAATAGGAACTGCAAATTTTGGAAATGGCAAAAATATTGAATATACGCAGTCCGCATGCAATCCTTCCCCCCCGGTGTGTGTAAAAACTATTTCTGTACAAATATACACGAGAGATGCATACACAAATTTAATTTCTATAATTCTTTATATACTAACAGGGATAACAGAACAAACGCTTACTTGATGGGGGCTACTGGATTTCCTTGTCTTGCTCTCCTTTGTTCTGGTGTCATATAGTCCCACTTGAAAACCAGGTTCCAGTCAAATCCTAGCAAAAAAAAAAAAAAGTATGGAATTTAAAAGTTCTGCAGTTCTTTATAGACACAGTAGTATTCACAAACCAGCAATATCACATTCTAATGCATGGGGAAAAATCTGGGTTAGTGGTGTGTGCCCAGAGAAGCACAAGCATGGGGCCTTTTGCTAGGTATCATGACGGGCCAAGTTCTTGAGAAGGAAAAAGGCAAGAATAAAAGGAGGAATTATTTGTAATCTTTAAAGAGACTCTGTTACCTTGCTCATCTTGTCACATCTAAGTATGGAGGAGTAGGTGACCTGCTTCCCCGCCCGTGTCCAGGTTCAGCAACCAATCAACTGATCCAAGCACTGTCAGATGACTGGGGGAGCAACGTCATTGAGGAGCAAAGAGGTGCAGGTAAAGCGACTATAAGGGAGTCAGGGAATGGACTTTGCAGAGACACTGACTTTCCCAGAACTGGACCACGGAGCAATGGAAGAAGGTGGCCTGGTCTGATGAATCACATTTTCTTTTACATCATGTGGATGGCCCGAGTACATGTGTGTTGCTAACCTGGGGAAAAGATGGCACCAAGATGCACTATGGGAAAAAGGAAAGCCGACGGAGGCAGTGTGACGCTTTGGGCAATGTTCTGCTGAGAAACACTAGGTCCAGCCATTCATGTGGATGTTACTTTGACACGTACCATCTGCCTAAACATTGCTGCTGATCAAGTACACCCCTTCATGGAAACTGTATTCCCAGATGGCAGCGGACTGTTTCAGCAGGATAATGTGGTTTGAGCAACACAACGAGTCTGAGGTGTTATCTTTGCCTCCAAATACTCCAGATCTCAATCCAATTGAGCATCTGTGGGATGTGCTAGAAAAACAATACTGATCTACGGTGGCCACAACCTCTCAACGTATAGTACTTAAAGGATCCTAGTGGCAACCGCCACACTGCAAAAATGGTTCAAGAATGGTTTAAGCAACACAACAACAGGTTTGAGGTGTTGAGTTAGTTTCCAAATTCTCCAGATATCAGTCCATTCGAGCATCTGTGGGATGTGCTGGAAAAACAAGTCAGCTCTATGGAGGCCCCACCTCGCCACTTACAGGAATTAAAGGATCTGCTACTGATGGCTTGGTGCAAGAGAGCACAGCATAGCTTCAGAGGTCTAGTGGAGTCCATGCCTCAATGAGTGAGGGCTGCTTAGGTGGCAAAAGGGGGACCTACTCTATATTAGGTGGTCATGACTGATCAGTGTGTATAATATATATATATATTAGGGCTGTTACTGATTAAAATTTTCGTGTTGGATTAGTGTGATCCTACTTCATTTTATTACTTCATTGCTGTGCAGTATGTGTATAGGCCACTGTAGTTGGATCTGTATGTGCGTTATAATTAAATCAAAATTAATCGATTAATCGAACACGAAAATTTTAATCAGTAACAGCCCTAATATATATATACATACATATATATATACATACATATATACACACACACACACACACACACACACCTGTTCTGAGCTTTATCGTGTGACAATTCTGACCTACCATATTAAATTGCCAGGCTGCCTCTGGAGTTGCTGACCCAGAGCAAGCAAACCGCAAGTGAAGTAAAATGTGTGCTTGTTCCGAGTAAGCATGATGGCCAAACAGCAATGGCAACCTGCTACAGTACAAGTTTCCTTAAAAAATAATAAATGCACACTACTCCATAAATGAAAAATGTGCATTTATTTTTTTGCATAGAAGCCAGTAAAGCATTGCAACAAGATCTTGAAACATGATCTTGGTCTTTAACTCTACTTATGGATTTTAAAACTGGATGTCATCACAACTCTTGAACCAGTTCTACTACATATCTAGGAAAAATCACAGAAAAGTGATGATTATACATCTTAACCGAAAGTGTATGAAAAGCAAACACACTCCAAGCTCTCAAATGTGATCTACTGAAGGAAAGTGTGCAGTGTCATGCAGTGGGAAAGACTGAAGCGTGTGAGACTTGGGGATGGCCCGACTGCTGTTACTGTATATTCTCCATGGATGCTTACAGCATTGACTAAAGCTTTCTAGTGACCTCACCATCTGCCATCTGGTTTTATTAGTAACAGGAGATAAATGGGGAGGGTAGGGGGTTCTGTGTCTGGGCAGGCATGAACAGTTGCAGTGTCACTTTCCCTACCCCCTCCATGTTTTCTGCCAGCTTGGTATTTATTTATTTATACAGAGATATGATCTTGTGTAGCACTGCAAAGTGTAACCGATATAACAAAGAACGGTAGGACAGGTAATACAATACATAAAATGTTCCAAAGGCTTGTAAACACAGTTTAGCAAAACATAGGAAAATGAGATAAGGGAAAGAAAACCATTCAGTTCACTTTTTTTTTTTAGGCTGTGTTTCCTTTATTTTCTCTTAGTGATCCTGCCAATAACACTTCCTTTCTAAGGGTGACAATGCTTGCTCACTCTACTGTATCTATGGAGGATGCAGCATAGTCACCCCAGGCTGCTCTCCTGATTTGGACTATAAACCGACCTCCCCACCTCATCATCTCCATTACATGGGGGGGACCTGTCTGAGAGATGACAGAAAACATTGTTTGATATGCAGCTTATCGCATGGGAAGTTTGGACACTGGATTTCTGGAAGGATCAACATACAGTATATTTTTCTTATACTTGCAGAAAGTATACTTAGATGTGGTGGCTGCATTAGTTTTCTTTTTGCACACTAAAGACTGTTACACTATAAAATATTACACTAAAGACCGTCACACTATAAAATATTACATCTTTGTACTTGAGTTTCAATATGCTTTAAAGAAGAACTCCAGGAAACACGGGGAGAAGTGAATTGGGTACAGACACCTGGCTCATCCGACACATGCAAGCTAATAACAAAGATCTACATTTCACCCCAGAGGTGTTCAGGAACAATTGCAATAGTTAGTCATATTAAAGTCAAAAGGTTTTTTTTAAAGCAATTTTCAAATGCTTTAAATCACTTACAGTGGACTCTACTTCTTGACAATTAAAAATGTAGCTTTCTGCAGAGTTAGCTGGTTTCCTGTTTTAAGGGGGGCTCACTTCCCTTGCAGGGTAGTATAGAGTCACTCTTGTGTGTGCGCCAGTAAGCTGTGTGTCTCCACAAACACAGGCACAGTGAGGCAAGTCACCCCCCTGCTCCCTGCCTCTTCCTTCTCCAAGCTAGTAAATGGACAGCTGCTGGAGACTGTGTTGTCCCTTGTGAGCTTGTATAGAACAAGTTGAGGGATGCGGAGCTGAGAGAGTTGGAGCCAGCTACACTTTTGCTGGACAATGTATATTTGTTTCATCTGGATTCATTATTGGGAAAAAGTTTGAAAGTTGAAGGCTACTTTAACTCAAAGTTTTCAACAGCAGCTGTACTTTTCAATGCAAAGCAAGAGGGATTTATGGTTCAGGTGACCAATACTAACATTTTTTAGGTGTAATGGATAAAAAGCAACATTTTAAAACCTGGCATATACAGTACATACTCAAGAACAATCAACAGGCAGGCTGCATTCTGCTGCAAAGAAGCTGTGTATTGATTTTTGTAGGCGACACATTCACATGATACTGGTTCTTACACCGGAGTCAAAAGGGCTAAAATAATAGGTTTTTAAAAATAACTGTCCCTGAAAAATATGCTGCACTTGCTCCTGTACTTTATTATATTGACATCTTTAGGTAATTTAAAGTGAAGGTATCTAATGTCATGATCAAGCAACATACCCATAGGTCTATGCAACACCTTAAAACATCGTTATCGTTATTTGGACAATATTAATAAGGTGACTACATGGGAAACCAGTGCACGCATGATTACTTGCTCTTGCAACTGAGACACTTATGTTTCCAAGAACTGGAGATCAGGGTGTTAACCCATTGACACAGAAAATATCCTCATATGCAGATAATACGATCCTTTAATTGGATGTGCCTGGTGAGTTACAATTTGAAAGTTGTGGATGTTCAGACATTTCTCTAGTTTACAGGTCAGTTTGAATCCTCTTCTCCTGCGGCTTTCTCGCTGATAGCATCCTTGTTTCATTGTCTCTTGTCGTTATCAGCCTTATGTGGGGAGGTTTTGTACAGCTAGAGAGAATCTACATGGCAGTTTAGGTTTGAAACTGGCCACAACCAGCTTTATTGCATTTTCAGCATGAACAACTGCGTCATGAAACACAAAAATAAAATCAATCCTAGTGTGTTTCTGGACCTTATGCCCAACTCAACAGAGCAAAATATGTTTCTACTTATAAGGTAGTAGGCTTTCCATAACTGATCTCCAAGTTTCCCAATTGCTAAGAGACCCTACGTAAACAGCCAGCTCCAAATAAATAAGGGCTGCCACAGTAATAGCATAAATATGCCTTAGTTAGTATTTAGAAAACTGAGTGTTATTCACAAAAGGGTGAAGAGTTTGGAGAAGGCAGGAGAAGTGAACAATCTAGGACAACATAGCCGATTTGGAAAAATTCTCCAATTCAGCTCACTTTCCAAATCAGCTATGTTGTCCTAGATTGTTCACTTCTCCTGCCTTCTCCTGCCTTCTCCAAACTCTTCAGCATTTTGTGAATAGACATGTTAGTCGTGAAATCTATCCTTTCAGCATCAAATGGTTTTCCCCAGTTCTCGTTTCGCACTGTGTTGACTTATTTTAATATACAGGTGTTTAGGTTCACAAAGACTTTATGAAACATGGAATGCTCTAACCAAATTCCACCTTGAGTGGTATGTAGATCATGTAGATCATCCTAAAAGGAGGGCTTTGCCTTTCTTCTTAATGGAACTGGAAGGATCAATTTTTCCGAGGTTGTACTTACAGAAATACCTGCATTTCAGGCGTTTAGTTTTACATTTAGGTTTCTTCAAGGTCTACATGCTCTTATAACTTCCTAGAATGTCCAGATTCAAAAGGATTTTGTTAAATATGGAATGTTGTAGTTAAATCTCACCTTTAGTGGTATGAAGACCATCCTAAGGCTGGTGATACACCTGTCAATGTTTTTCGTTTGACCCCCGAGCTGAACGAAAGAAATTGACGCAATTCCTCCAACAAAATAAGCACGTCTATCGAGGAATCGCCGCTGTTTGCATTGTATTCTGGCAGGTACTGCCGCCACCTGTCAGAATACCCGATCAGAGCCGGCAGCTCATTGGCTGCCGGCTCTGATCGCACAAAGATTTTCCAGCAGGCTCCTTTGATCAGCTGATCGAAGAATTCCATGCTGAAAGGGAGCCGACAGCCCCACACACTGTGCGAATTTCGGCTTGTACATTAAAAACCGACCAAAATTCAGCCAGTGTATGGGCACCTTAAGACTGAGTGCTTTGCTTTCTCATTAATGTGATTGGGATGATCCATTTAAAGCTGCCCACACACCTTACAATTTCTCTGCAGATTTTCTGTGGTCAGATGGAAAAAGTGCAACAGATTGGCTCAGGTGGAGATTACTCCATCCACACAGTTAAGTGTAGATGGAGGAATCTGTTGCACCTTTTCCATCTGACCACAGAAAATCTGCAGATAAATTGTAAGGTGTGTGGGCAGCCTAACAGAGGTTGTGCTCACAGAAATACCTGCATTTCAGGTGTTTCCTATACTGTATCTCTACATACAGATTTTGCCAGTGACTAGATTCTCTTCCTAGGATGTCCAGAAATTTTTTTCTGAAAGTCTCCAAAAAACACTAGGGATCTTCATGTACCATGTTATAGAGGTGTCCTTACCCCACTTAAGTATGCCTTTCTTTTTAAATTGAGTGACTAGAACCATAGATTTGTGGCTAAAACAGCAATTTGTAATTGAGTTTCTGGCAAAAGAGGGTTGCCCACCTAAGGAAATCCATAATCAGCTAAATAATGTTTATGGGGGCGCTGTAGTGGACATAAGCAATGTGCACCAATGGGTGAAAACGTTTCTAGAAGGAAAAAACGAAATTCCACTACAGCGTCCCTATAAACATTCTTGCGCTGATTATGGATTTCCTTTGGTGCACAACCCTCTTTCGCCAGAAAATCAATGACAGCAATAATATATAATTATTCCTCCCCAGAGCAATTGTTCCTATTGGTGAAAACATAACCATGGTCTTGGCACTGACTATACTAGATTCATATGAAAACATTTGTTAATTACTAGTAGACAAAATTATAGTTCAAACCATAGTGGTTTCACATTGCTGTTGCTTTAAGACACTCTCAAGGTGTCAAACTCATTGCACATGTATTTAGTGATTATGGTTTGCCAACTTTGATGTCTTTAAAAGCATCTTTAGCTCTCACAGCTTTTTAGCTTTCGTTGTCACGCATATTCGAGTTCAATTTTACACTCTTTGTTTGGAACTTAGCTTACTCCCTGGAGAAAATCCTACTGTCTGAATCCATGGATAAGGCTGTCAGATCATTTATTAAGCTTATTTACAATCTCATCTAGGCAACCTTGTTACATTCCCTTTTTAGAAAGGCCATTAAGATATACCCAGATTGGATATTAAAAAAAAAAAAAAAAGAAGAAGACAGAAAAGGAAGGAAGGAAGGAAGGAAGGAAGAGCAGGCTGAAAAGATTTGTTTTGAACAGTTATTAGAACAAAAGATTGGCTGCTCATTTTAAAAGTATATATTATGCAAATCAGACAGGTGGCAGCAAACCGCTAAATACTTAAATCGCAATACAGATGTGGGATCTTTTTTCCTGCCTAAGCATTTTAATACTTGTCCACCCAGTTCTGACATTTAAACAGCCCTGCTTAGCTGGCAAACCGCATTACCCTACCTTAGTCACCCATAAAGTTTTGCGTGTTTATCATAAGCATTAAATCAAACCTGTGAGTGTGTAAGTGGATAGAAACTAATAGTTGCATAAGCAGCCACCTCATGCCTTCCCCGAATGCAATGCCTGCAGCTGTGCAGCATATTAGAAGAGCAAATGCATGTTCTACGGGGATGGGGGGGCATTACTGCTATGCAAGCATGTCTCTCTGTACATATACAAAGTCAGAGGGTGGTGGGCAAGGGGAACATCATTACGTTTTACTCCTCTGCAAAAAGATTTCCTTCTGATTTTTGCTATCAAAAAAAAAAAAAAAAGCATCCACCTGACTCTTTCCATTTTTAAAAGAAAGAGCAGTTTGGTTTCTCTTTCATTTTATATTTTGATTATATTTTTTTTTTTGGTTTACAAGTTTTGAGACTGACATTTTACATAATTTTGATTATGTAGCAAAAATAAATAAAAAAGGAGAGAACACAGCAGCATCTTCTCCCTTTAGGGCATTTCGAAGCTGAATTTCATTTTAGCCCAATATAGTCTACAGCATTACATGCTTTTGATTTGGTGAGGCTGCGCATAAGCCGACTGCTGAATAGCTCACTTTCATGAACAGACAGGACAGAAAGTAAACTTAGAGCAACAAAATAATTATTCCACAATAACAATGGATGTTGTAGTTACCTTTACATAAAAATGTTAATGCAAATTAAAGATTATTAAATAGATCTATAAATTAAATGTCCCTGTACGTTACATAGTTACATAGTATTTGAGGTTGAATAAAGACATTAGTCCATCAAGTCCAACCTATTAGGATCTCAACGTTAGGCTCAGTGATCACTCAGAATTGTTACCTGGGAGTGGGTGCAAACTACAAGCATCTTATCTAAGGAACTATTGAGCGCTTGATTTTCAATTGTAACATTGAAGGGAATGCAGGAGATGAAAGACTTTCAGGCTTAGCTTTATCATGACTGCAAATGCAAATATTCATAAAACCAAATTTGAAATCTTCACTATTTAAATTGCTACATACCTCCTTTTAAATCTGCCGATGCCCCAACATACTGAAAGTTGTCCATATTAATCACATCAATTATTGGGGATACAACTCGAGATTTGTCCTAAAATATGTAAAAAAATATATTGAAAAAAATTAGATTAACATTTTTTACATAAGACATTTTGACATTACAACATTGCATGAATAAAATAAAAAAAACACAACAAAACAAATACTAAAATGTACAATAGTACACTTTAAACTCAAAGGAAACAATGGGCTAAATAGAGTGGAATAAATGTAAAAAGGGCCATAATATATCCACGGGGGGGGTCACATCTACAAAATTCTAGGAAAAGGCTTTGTCATTGAACATTTAAAGTGACATTAAACTCAGGAGTTAAATCTTATAAATGTATTCAAGTACCTTAACTATTAACAAAAATTGCCAACGCACCAAGCTCGCTCCCGTGACATACTGTAACTTCAATACAAATTGTCTAACTAAACGTGAGATTGTAGTCCATCAAGGGAGCGAGCTTAGAGTGGTAGCTCCTTTACAACACACACCATGACTTTAGCAATGAGAACATTATTACGCCACCCAACAGTCTTGTTGCTGAAGCTATGTAGACATATGAACAATGAAAGTTCTCCTGAGAACCTTTAAGATTTTGAAAGCTCACACAGTTAAGCTACAAGCGCTTCCTGGAAGTCAATGGTTTCGTAGCCTTCCCTGGAGGCAGCTGGGAGGTATTGGCTACAATATAGGCTCGGGAGGGATGGAAGTACAGAAAAAACAGGATTTCTAGAAAAGATTGTTAGGCATGCAGAGTTGCATGCACCTGTGTTTTTTGGGGAAAGGTCTGCTCTAAGGCTGGGCACACACCTTACAACCATCGCAAGACTTTTGTCTTGCGATGGTTGCAAGGGACTTAAAAAACCGTACGATCTGCCTATCTTGCATAGGCAGATCGTACTTGCGATGATTGCAAGCCACGCCCCCTGAGGGGCGGGCTTCCGATGACCGCAATGCCGAACAGGCAGTGTGCGCTTGCGCACACCGGCCTGTCCGGCTTTTATCTTACGAACATGCTACAGACCCGCCGAACATCGTACGATGCTCGGCGGGTTTTGAAACATGTCCATAAGTTTAAAGTCGTGCGACCTTACAGTAGTAGAGATCGCACGGCGTCCACACACCTTACGATAATCGTACGATCGCGGAATTTCCCGCGATTATCATAAGGTGTGGGGACCTTAAGAAGGAACTGATCAATAGAAAAGAAGTTCTAAATTTACAAATGTTTAGAAAGGCAACCTACTATCGAAACAGGTCGCAAGACCAGGTTGTTTTTTTTTTTTGCAACTTCACTCAAAATAGAAAATATCAAAAGCTTAAGTTTCAATGTATAGAAAAAGATCCATCACACACAAGTAGCTCTACAGCCAAATAGGTAAAGCTGGGTACAGAGGTGTAGAGGTACCATTAGTCAATGTAGAGAAAGGCAGAACGCCATGGACACATAGTGTTTTTTACTCAAAAAGGCACATTACATTTCAGGGCCATGCAGGGCTCATGACATTGTTTTTTTACACCCAGTGTGAACAAGTTCTTCTAGGTAATTAGTAAGGAGATGTAGCATTTGAAAGCATTGGGAATGTTTGAGAGTTCTAATTATTATACTGGAAAAAACACTGTAAAATGGTTGTAAAGAAGTCTTATGTCCTTCACATTAGGTTTACTGATAACTTTATCTTTTAAGTGTGATGGACTTCGCTTTTTTTCTGATGGGGAAAAAAAACACCAGCTTAATCTCCCAGAGAACAAACTGAGATCAAAAGAAGTAAAATCTATTATCTGCTGCATAACCCATGTAAAAGATAATCAAGGCATTGCAGGTTCTTAAAATATATCAACAAAAATTTAATATTTTGCAGTTTACCCGTCCATAGATGTGGTGACTGCATTATTTATTTGATTATCTTCTGCATGCACAAAACAAAACATGTTGATCCTGCTAGAAAACTAGTGTCCTGGTAACTTCTTGTCCACTGAACTGAAATCCTCAGATTGTTATCAGTCTTTCCAGCTTTTTTCTCTAAACTAAAGAGCACAACCCTACTATTTAATGGAGGCAAGGAGAGGAGGAGGTGGTTGAAGTCCAATCCTGCCTAGGGTGTTAACACAGCTACTACTCCATGTACACAGTACAGACAAGTAAAAAAAGAGAAAAATGGTGAGTAAATAAACTAGTACATGTTTTCTCTCTATACTCTGAAAATATGAATGAAAATAATGACTACTAACTAAACCATGGACAGGACACTGTTCCCTAATGAGAAATAGAAGGACATATTCTGCCAATGCATGTAAATCAATGTACCCTAAATGCTCCCAAAAGGGGAAAAAGGTCATCCTCCAAAAACTACATATGGGCTACTTAAAGTTTTGTGAAGAAAGAAATGGAGCCATCCCAACATGCTGGAAAAGCACAGCATACCCAATGAGATGTGGAATCTGAGTAGTTGTGAGAATGCAGGAAAGGGACCATTTCCAAAACACCTGCTGATTTGATCAAGCTCATGACATATTCCAGCTCATCAAAAGCAGCATTGGGCATCCGAAGATAGAGAATATCTAGATAGGCAAATTTCCCCATTTCTCCTAAATATGCCCTTAGAATTTAAGTCAATTGTAGGTAAGGTATCTTTCAATCAACATGCAGTGAATGTCCACTGTATGATTTGAGCAAGTAGTGGGGATCAGTTAAATGGTGGCTCTTTTTTTGCATTGCAATCTTGCCATTGGTATCTTGCCAACTTCTTTTGGTAGCCAACTGTTCTTGTAAAGGCCAATTTAATTATTTAAAAAGTTGTTCATTAAAATACTAGGAATTGCCACTGCAATGGGTGTATTAGCAAAATGGTATGCAGATCTTCTCTGTAGAGAAGAAAGTGCTCACCTTGTGTTTAATTTTGGATAGAGTAGGGAAGGGTTTATTTTTGCTGTCTTTGTACAATTGTGGAAATTTCCCTTCACTTCCTGTTCTGGAAACACAACAAAGTTTAAAAGGAAAACTTCCAAAGCGAGAGGAATTCCCCAGTTAGACAGTTGTACCTGAAACAACTGTTCACGTCGGAAGATTTCTGAAATCCCAGCTATGTTCATCCTATGGGCCTGTGCGGATGGCTTTTATTCACTTCAATCGGGTTTTGCATTCCCAGTCTATGGGAATACAAAACCCACTTGAAGCAGGTCAAATGCAGCATTAATGAATTTTGAGTGGTATCAAAAGGGCCTCAAACTCATGACACACAGCCAAAGTCACAATTAATGGTCTACATTTTATAGACTCATCACAATCAAGCAATCTGAAAACACCACATTGACTATTACTACTATCACTACACAAGTCATACACAGAGGCCAAGTAGTATTTATCAGTTATCAAAGGCAATCTGACAAATAAGCCAGGATTGGTAATGCTATTAATAAAATCATGTAACAGGATCATCTATGCAAATCTTCTAATCTTCTCTAGTACAGCTGGCTGTCAGAGACAATTAGCATTAAATAAAGGCTTGGATAATGGCTGAAAGAAACTAGTTTATGATGTACACACATAAGATGTAGAATACAAAAACAGATAGCTTTACTGGGAAACAAATTATTTTATAGGTTTGCCAAGTGCTAATTAAATTCAAATGTGCAAGATGACGAACAGATGTCTACAGCACCTGATATTACTAATCAAATTCACCTATGAGATTATGAATGAGAATACATACCAGTGAGTAGACATTATATCCCATTAGAGCTAGAAACTGGGCACTGCATACCTTTTATAAGTATAACTGGATTCTTATTATCAACAGTAGAACATGTAGGAATTCACATGGCTGAAAGTCTAAGAGGCATCTGGCCTCCAGCAGAAATACCAGCTTGTGGCTGTATTCCTGTGCCCTGGCCTTTGGACTCTGCACATTGGCAACAGCTAATATTACAGACAGGCAACCAAAACAAAAGTACCAAACATGACAGGCATCTCTCAATTTCAAGAAACAAGTAAGGGTGGTGGGCAAGTGAAGGTTGGGGTCAAGTAACAAACCACAACTGCACACAAAAAGCACTACGACGGCTGGGGCAGATTTCAAACAAAAATAATGAAGAAAACAGACAGAGCAAAGAACAGAGCAAAGAACTCCACAAAGGAGTAATGATATCCCAAGTGTGCTGATCAGAGATGCCATATAATGTCAGAGACAGCAGCATATCAAGGGTGCCTACAGCTTCATAGGTGTATATCTGTAGTGTGAGATATAAGGTGCTGCTGCCACTGACTGATGGTCTCGGCACATCTGGAGTGAGATTTGATGAGGTCATGACTGCTGCTTGCTGTTCTTGTTAGGGCCTCTGCCACGAGGAAGCAAAACCCTGCATAATAAGGACATTGATGCTTAAACTAAGAACTCCTTAATTATACCCCACTTAAAGGTCATCAATAAATGATAGAGAAAAATCTCAGATCTTTGATTCTCGAACATCGGTGGGACTAAAGCGGTCAGTTGGACAGGTAGCCAGTTGTTTGCAATGTCAGCTGCCAACGGTAGACATAGATTAAGGTACCTCAGAAGAGGGCATCATGCAGAGGAGCAGTTATCTTCAGATTGTGGGACGCGAGAGGATAAAGGGAATAAAGTGAACCTGTCAGCAATTTGTGTTTTTTTTATTATAATATATATATACATATTTACATACACACACGCACGTACGTACGTACGTACGTACGTACGTACGTACGTACGTAAAGTTGTACTTTACTGTGGGCGGCTGCCCTTCTCTGATGTATGGAATGTTTTGCTGTTCAATGAAGAAATTGAAAAAAAAACCCTAACCCCCCCACACATTTTGCAATAATGTAAAAACAAAAGAAACAAATAAACCATAATACTTCTGTCTTTCCTACTCATCTACACTCCCACACCCCCTCTGGCAGGATTACCAGTATTCCTATCAAGCATCTATCCATATAATCGCAACTTAATGTTGGCATATAATTCTCTATCTGGGGTATCCATATGTTTCAACATTTTTTAACCTCATCATTAATAATTGCCCATAATTTACTGCATACCACATGATCTTTTTTTTTTTAACGTGATATATCTTTGGGATCTCATTCTTCCATGTTTTCCCCAAAATTTGTTTCACGTCTGTAAATATAAATGTTACTAATTTAAATGGAGATAAATGTACAGCCCTATGGTTTTAAAAATCAGTAATGCTTCCCATGGATTCCTCTTAACATTTTGCCCAAAACTGTATATAACAACTGATATACTCCTTTCTACAAGTGTCTTATTTTTGGGCAGTCCCATACTATGTGCAAAAAAAGTTCCTGTTACCATACAACCTCTAAAACAATTAGGAGAGATTCCCCCTTGAAATTTCACCATTTCCTGAGGTACCATATGCCATTGCACGAAGTACTTATAGTTTATCTACTTAGCTGAGCAATAGGCAATGGTATCCCACATCCGAGACCAGTTCTTTGCCTCTACTTTTCCCCATAAATCTCTTTCCAATTGCTCAATATAAACACTTCAAGGGGGAATCTTGCCTCTTCAACAGTATATTATAAACCTACAAAATCGCTCCTTTACCTCTAGGGTTTTAATAACATCTAAGTTTAGAAACCCCTCCTCAGAAGTGTTTCCTAAACCGTACTATTAATAAAACGTCTCATATGGCGGTAATTGAAAAATTCTGAAGCTGGCATCTTGCATCTTTTTTGCAGTTCTCCAAATTGAAGAATTCCTGTTGCTGACACAATCCTTCACCCTTTTTATCCCTACTTTCATCCAGTTTTGAAACATACCCGGCTCCTCCATTCCTGGTATAAGGAGTGGATTTTTAATTAATGTAGCCAGAGGGGCCTGTGGTGACATCAATGTTCCCGAAGTCCCACACCTTCAGTGTATGCTTCAAAACTGGCTTATTTCCTTTCTCTTGGCTGTCGGTCTCCATATTAATGTATCTATTCCTATAGGATGTGATTCTAACCTTTACTATATTTACCCAATGTGGGGTTTCAGATGTAATACAATTTGAGACCAAAGGGAATATTTGTGCTGCATAATATTATACTAACAATTTAGGAATGGACAATGCCCCCTTCTTTCTCAATTGAAAACATATTTTGATATGCACATTTTTTCCCCCTCCCCATATAAAATTTAACAATTGTCTCTGCATCAAGTCCAAAAGCTGCTTGGGAATTGCTATCGGCAACATTCTAAACGCATATAAAATAATCGGCAGCAGGGACATTTTAACTGCTGCAAATCATCCAAGTCCTGATATATGATGCTTCTTCATGCTCCATTCCTCCAACATTTTCTTTATTCGCAGCAAAAACTCATATTCCCAAATACTTCAAGCTTTCTCTCACCCATTGAAAAAGGAACCATGTTTGAAGCTGACTAACCACTTCCTGCTTTTAATTGATGTTCAACACTTTAGACTTACTATGATTAATCTGTGGTCCTGATATACCTTCAAATTCACCCAATAATGTCATTAAATTTGGTAGAAATATTAGGGGGTCAGTCAAGAATATTTAGTTTAGTTCTATCATCTGCATATAATGACATCTTATGTTCATATTCTGCTATTTTTAGCACCCCCTTATCTACACCAGGGATGGCCAAACTCTGGCACTCCAGCTGTTGTGAAACAACAAATCCCATGAAGCATCTCTCTCCGGGAGTCATGTCTGTGGCTGTGAGAATCTTGGAAAGCCTCATGGGATTCGTAGTTCCACCACAGCTGGAGGGCTGCAGTTTGGCCATCCCTGATCTACACTTTGTCCAATTGCCACCGCCAGAGGCTCCAATGCCAATGCAGAAAGTGGGGACATTGGGCATCTGTCTTGTACCCCTTGATACTGAAAAGGTATCTTAACAGAAATCTGCATAGGTTTATAAATGCTCTACAAAAATGATATAACCTATGTACAAAAACTTGGCCCAAACCCCCATTTCTCAACTATAAAGAACATATACTGCCAGGAGATCGTATCAGAGGCTTTTCATGTATACAGGTGAAACTCGAATAATTAGAATATCGTGCAAAAGTAATTGCAGTAAGTGCTGCAAAAGGGGCCCAAATCAAGTACTGAGTACATATGCATGCTTGTACTTTTCAGAGGTCCGATATTGTTCTATGTACAATCCTTGTTTTATTGCTTGCATGTAATAATCTACTTTTTTGAGGTTGTGGATTTGGGGTTTTCATGAGCTGTAAGGCATAATCATCACAATTATGACAAATCACGGCTTGAATTATCTTGCTTTGCATGTAATGAGTCTCTCTCATATATTAGTTTCACCTTTTAAGTTGCATTAGTGAAATAAATGAACTTTGCACGATATTCTAATTATTCGAGTTTCACCTGTATATAACACTAAAAAAAATTCCTGGTGTCATGTTTCTTTTAGCCATAGAGATTAGATGAATTATGTGACGTACTCCATCTGCCCCCTTGACTCCCTGGCATTAAGCCCACCTGATCATCTATTAGAGTTGTTATCACTCTATTTAATCAAACAGCCAATATTCTTGCCAGTATTTTAACATCTATATTGAGCAAGGATATTGAACAGTAAATTATTCCAATTGGTATGATCTGCCTCAGGTTTTGGAAGCATTACAACTGCTGCCATCAACATATCTGAGCCTAGTTGCTTTCCTTGCAAGATGCCATTACACAAATTTGTCAAATAGGGCCCCAGTATTGACCCAAATTTCTTATAGTACATGGAGGTTAAACCGTCTGGTCCTGGCTGTTTCCCAGTTTTCAATTCTTGAATGGCTCTCATGACTTCCTGTAATGTTATCTCTTCCTCTAACAGTATCCTAGAAGCCTCCGATATTCTTGGAAGCGATATTGAATCTACAAACTTTTCACCTGTCAGCAATTTTAAACATGTAAATGTCCTGCCTTATTGCACCTTCTATGTAGCCTAAAAACCCTTTTCTGTGGGCTTCCGATTTCGTTTCACTCTTATACTTCCCTGAACCCTGTGTCAACTGCCATGTCCATTGGAATCTGTTAAATGACCTTTACGAGTGCGCTCTTTAGTAAGGGTGTAGACAGGTTGGCATAAAAGTCAGCCTGAGTACCAAAAAGAGGCACACAGAGAAGGGGTTTCCTTGCTAATAAAAAGGTCATAGCAGACACATTGTGCCACCTGCTATTTGCCAGGAACTTTACTTTCAAATTGGAACCAAACTCTGGAGGCTGTGACCAAAAAATATATATGCAGAGGGCAAAGGACCGGTCATCAGTATTGCGTGTCATTTCCCTGTAGCTGATCTTTCCCCATTACGGACTTACCATGCCTTGTTCTTCACTCTGTCTCTGGATGGAGACGACCATCTTGGTAGAGACATTAGTGTGCTTACAATCTTGTAACCTAAAAATTTATATATTTAAACAGTGGCCTGCGAAATCCACTCCTAATGCAACTGGTTTTGTTAACAGATTCTTTGTACATATTAATAAAAGGAAGAAAAAGATCTGTTTATGTTTTTAAGATACTATTAAACTCTGCACCACCCCCACTGTATATTAACGTCCTCTTGGCAAGCTCACTTTGCCAGGAGGGTGTTAAAATCCTGCCAGTTTAAGTAGACTGGAGACTCTGCCTAATTGGTCTGTAACCACTCACAGGAGGCGAGGAAGGTGTCCATGCTGCCTGTGTGTCGTGCACATTTGCTATTGGTTGTAAAGCGGTGGGGTTCTCTCAGGATCCAGAAGAGCAGTCTGTAGGAGTAAAATCAGCACAGGGGACTGTCAGGCACATAGCAGTGCTGGATTAGCAATGTGAACATGTCCCCAAGCCCCCCCTGAGGGACCCGGATGGCAGACTTGTTATTAAATTAAAAAAAGGGAAGAAATGGGCTGGGAAAAAATATACTGCTGCCTCGCACATTTTAGCAGCTTCTCTTTGCTTACAGCATTGTGAAATGTGAAAAAAAAACAAAACAAAACAAAAAAATGTGTCCATTAATAACTCATCCCTAAACTTATACCTACTGAACTCAGCACTGTATTGGAAATACCTAATTACTAAAAACCTAAACTACTCACGCTTGCTTATCCACCATACAGCGCTGACATATGCATCAAAACCTATGCATATTGGGTATCCCTGTACTAATAGGAGAAAATAGTTTACTGAAAAGATTTTGAATATCAGTTATGCAAAAAGTTACACATTAAATAAACTAAAACAAAGGAAGGCCCTACATGTGCTTAAAATGTTCTGAAAATCATGTTGTTACACAAAGTGGTTAAACTCTACTGTTAAGTTGTCCAGTGCATTCCAAGATTTCAAAATGTGTTCTGATAATGTAGGTTTTGATTACCCTGGAACTCTAAAATAGGTTAACAAGATGTGGGTGGCTATAGGTTTTACCAAATATTATTTCTGTTTAAGTTACCTCATCAACTCTTTCAAGGAGGGGTTCCAACCAATGCTCATTACACTCACAGTGGCTATCAAGGAAGGTGAGAACCGTGGACTTAGCTGCATCTGCTCCTTTAACCCGAGAACGCATAAGACCTGTTATAAAAGACAGCAAGTCTATTATACAAATAATACGACCATCACAAAAAAAATCAGTGTTTAAATATCAAGAGTAAGCACAAAAGCTAAAATGTATCTAAAATATGAGATCACCACCTCAAGATGTCTGTATGTCAAAGCTACTATTGGGCTATAAAATTGTTAATGCTTCAATTTGCATAACTTCTATTGTGTGTTATCACTTTGGACCCCACAGATAATGCATCATCAGGATGGAAAGCTTACCCAAAAATCTATCAAACCAATACACTAATTTTCCCCAAGAGAACCTGTTAGCTGGTGTCAATATAAAAATATAACACAAGAATCTGGCTAAAAACTGTACGTTTTATTTGCACTGTAGGTAAAGGTAGGGATATTTAATTTTACTTTTTACTGAGCACCTCAGCACTGACCAAAGAACTCATCCACTAAGGACAAAAATGTATAATTGACCCTTGGTGCAGTTACACTTATTCTGTAGTCCAAGACACCCCCCGCCCCCAGCACCAAACTCTCTCTCCTAATCTTATACTTAACTGTCCACAATCCAGCAAGACTTGTTGGTATTGTACAGTTTAGCAAGCATCTTCTCAGTCTTCCACACATGCACTCTGCACTCTATTTGAATCCTATGTAAAGTTTATTAAGAGAATGAGTTTGTACGCCAGAGCTCTCCATGGGATTGAATGAGACTGCCGGGAAGATTCTGACAAGCAACAAAAAGTGCAGGTACACTTTAAACTTTAAAGTGTATCTGGAGCCAAAACCTTTTTTAAAGTAGATCTCCAGCCAAAATATCAAGATAAAAATGAACAGCCCATTAAAAAACATAAAATAAAACAGCTTTTGCTACAATATTCAGCTTCAATCTAGAGATTTCCCCCATAGTACTTTTTTCTGCTGCTGATGGCCAGAATCATTGAACCTACTTCGACTGTGCCCAGGTAGTTCTGGACTTGCCCCAGCCTGTGATTGGGCAGTGAAAGGAGAAGCAGCAGAGTGATGAGCTCATCTACTGTCCCTCTGCTTTCACATCCCAACAGCATGCTTCTGGTCAGCACATGATTGGCGCCTTGTGCTTCCACACTCCAGCTCTGCTATGCAGGGACTGTAAGAGGCCAATACCGAGTGAGATTCAGCTACTTGTACTGCTTGCGTTTAAATAATACATTTACGATGTATTTATGAATACAAAGCGGTGTTAATTTATGTCTTTTTTTATCCACCTAGAGTTCAGATTTAAGTTTTGGAGTGCTGCAAGACAAACTTATGACATCAGCCACCAGGTTCTCTCATAGCGATGAATTGCTTGTACATTTTCAATAGTACGATCAGGCAATAATAAGATCATTGCAGAAAATAAAGAGAGTACAGCTTGGGAATTGGCAAATACAGGATTTGTTCCAGCGCACACTGTTTCTTGGGAATTAGAATTGGTTCCAAGATATTTAATTATTGGGAGTTTTTCCATTGTCTAGTTAGTACAAGTCTGGCTTCTGTGAAAGCAAAAAGAATACAAAGTCTAAACATCTTCAGAATAGTCTAACTCTAACTTAAAGCGTATGTCACCCAAATAATTACCATTCCTTATATTTGTTTGGCTAAGCATATCATTCTTAGAAAATGTAAAGCTATTATTTCTTATGTTGGTGCTAAATACCCAGTGGTCCTGCCTATTCCCCTTGGGGCCTGTATCAAACTGACCAGGTCAGGCATGGAAGCAGATCCTTGCTGGCCCTGGAATCCCTGCTATGAGTTACAGGACGCCGTGCCAAGAACAGCATGCCTATAATTCTTCTAGTGAGTTTTGGTCACAGATGTGGCCACCGCATTTCCTGAAACATAGAGGAAAATAATTATTTAAATTCTTTGGAGGTCATCTTAATAATTGTTAAGAGTTCATCTGAGCCCAGCCTGCATTGGGCTCAGCTTTCCTTACTGAAAGAGCTCCTTAATAAAAATGAGCCGATTTGTAATGGATTGTTCAGAGGCAGGGCTATTAGATGCCATCATCCACTGTTATTTATCATTATTTATTACAGGAATTTATATAGCGCCAACAATTTAAGCAGCACTTTACATATAGAACATTCACATCAATCCCTGCCATCAAGGAGCTTACAATCTAAACCAATTAACTTTCTAGCATGTCTTTGGAGTGTGGGATGGAACCATGCAAGCACAGAAAGAACACGCAAACTCCTTGCAGATTGTGTCCTAACCGGGATTCGAACCAGCGACTCGCAGTGGCAGAAGTGCTAACCACTAAGCCACTGTGCTGCCCACATGATGCTGTATGCTTTGCCACATTCTGCCAATAAAATTGCCCCTGAGGAAGGAGCCAAAATGGTCTATATATCGGTCAAAATCGATCTAGAATGGAACCCGCTAAAATAGCAATTATCTGTCACAGCCTGGCTCCTATCCAGATCTGGAGGCTGCCTTAGCTTAGACCAGGGGTAGCCAAATCCTGACCCTCCTGCTGTTGTGTAACTTCAAGTCCAATAAGGCATTGCAAGACTGACAGCCACAAGCATGACTCCCAGAGGCAGAGGCATGATGGGATTTGTAAGTTTAACTACAGCTGCAGGGCCATAGTTTGGCTACCGCTGGTTTAGAGCAAGCTGTCCTAGTTTAGAGGTATATCTCTGCAGCATCATGCACTGCCTAACTTGGCTGTACCAAGTCACAGCAAGTAGCTGTGCTCACCATGGCCTTTATTCTATAATCACGTCTTTAAATATTGGCATGAAGCAGTTCTTATCTTGGAAGCTCTGTTGGCACTATAAATAGGGGTCATTAATCATAAAAATCCATTGCTATGCCCAAGTGACTCCAAGAAAGAAGTAGGTGAGAATATTCCAGGTGACATTTGTTGATAAAGGGTTCCATGGTAGATTGAATAAACTCAAATGTTGCCATTTAAAAAACGGTCTATTCTAACAGAGATAGTTCCAATATAATGAACTAAAAGCAACAACATCAAGTCACAGCAACCAGATATAAGCAGTTATCAAACGTGTGTACTCAGGCTAATGTAATATGGTTTCCTATAATATTTAGGTTACTGCATTATATTATAAAAAGGAGAATTATGGGGAGAGTAAAATACACTCATCCCTATAATTGGGGATTGATGTGCGACACTGAAGCAGTCACACGTCGGCTCTATTGATCGAGAACTGAGCGATGACATACTGCCGATCTCTCAAATCCTGATCATCTCCCAGCAGGGAGCGCTGACTGGGGGAGGGGCAGGCACAGATCGCTCTGCCTCTGGAGAGGCAGAGCCAGCTGTCAATCAGGCAGCTGGGTGGATCCCGACAATATTCAGGGGTAGCCACCGCACTATATTTGTAAGGTAAATGCTCAGGTGATCATTCACAAAAATACCTATACAAATCCAAAGTAGGTATAGAGGCACTCACAGCAGTGGAGAGAAGTCAAAGAATCAGTGGTTTATTGTCCAACAATAAAATGTTGATACATCGACTTACCTCCACTGCAAAACCTGTGAGGGCCTCTATACCTACTTTGGATTTGTTTGTTACATAAGAAGTGTTTATCAATTAGGACCTAAAGGATGAGAGTTGGAAAAATAAAAGTACATATTCAAAAAGAGAAATGCAGTCAATAAAAAAAGAATGAAAGTAAAAAGGGCCAATTCATCCAAAAGTGATATTTATTATAGGTGGAACCTGGTGTACTAATTCAGCTTCTTGCATGTCCGATACTACAACACCGAAACGTCTCTGCCCTATTTTTCAACTCTGTTCCTGCCCACTTTGAAGTTTTAGGGCCGGTTCACACCACAAAGAGTGCGTTCGAGTGCGATTGCACGCACCCGAACGCGTGGCACATTAGTGCGTGCGTTCCGGTCCTGTGCGATCTGCAAAAATGCTACATGCACTATTTCTGCAGATCGCACTGGACCGGAATGCACGCACTAATGTTCCACGCGTTCGGGTGTGGGCGGAGGGCGTGGCTGCGATGCCATTGACTTCAATGCACCACCACGCCCCCTCGCGCCCCTGAACGCAGGGAGCCGGCCAGGTTGCATTCCAGTGGCCAAACGCTCTGGAACGCACTCTTTGTGGTGGAAACCGACCCTTAGGGAGACGTTCCAGCTCTTCTTGTTGCATTCTCTACAAAAGGAAGCTGACCCAATGGCTGTGGCAACTGTGCGGACCTCAAGGGAAGATAACACGCCAATAGAGTCAGCAAGCAATGCAAAAAATTATTTTGTAGTTAAACTCTCTAGCATCTTCCAACCAACTGAAAGATCAAATCTGTGTGGACTGACCACTGACCAGTATTATTCCATACTATGATGGCAAGTATGCTTTCTTGTTCTAGGACTGTGAGCAGCACCACCAACAATATTTATTGAAAATACTCTCACTCAGCAGCTGAGAATTTTTTAGTAATCACACAAAGTAGATGCAAATATTCATAGATGCATGGCCTCTCTAGAACTGCAGACACAGGATAATGTCCAAGACTAGCTTCAATTTACACTACTAGTCTAAACCTTTCTTTCTTCAAAAATACTGACTCAAACAGAACATGCAGACAGGTAAATTGCTAGTGGGTTTTTTTCTGGCTCCTGCCTAGGATAGCACTTCAGAGGGAGGGGAGGCAGGATCTGTGCGCAGGAACTGGCACAGATTGGCTGCTTCTACCCAAGCAGCCAATCAGTGCCTCCGCTTGTACACAGATGAAACACCGGTTTACCAGCAACCAGAGAATCTGGAAGCAGCTTACAGCTACAATTTATGCAAACCCAATCACTAAAGTCTCAACACTCAGTTACGTTTTAAAAACCAAAGCTACAAGACAATTGGTTATGGGGTGTTTTAAAACAAAAGTCAGTGTTTTGTTTTTTATTATTATAGATGGTACGCTAGCAAACCGAGAGCCACAAGGTCAACGGTTTACATTCACAAGCATTTCAGGCACCTATTTTTTGTTATTGTTGCTAAAGTGCACATGAACAAGAGGAAATTATACTTTAGGTCCAATGGCTGGGTCCTATTTATTAACCGTATTACATACCGTATATACTCGAGTATAAGCCGAGATTTTCAGCCCATTTTTTTGGCTGAAAAAAACATACCTTCTCTGCGGTCATTCCTTAGAACCCGAACTTTGTCTATCCTCCCAAGTAAAGCACCATCTTCAGCTACAAAAAAAAAAAAAGAAGAAGAATATGGTAAACATTTAAAAAGACCAATAACCAATATGAATTGTGCATTGATTGATGCGAAATAGGCTAATATTTAGTATTAGCCATAGAGTATATACAAACATTTGTGGACACCGGACCATCACACTTACTACATGGCCAAAAGTATGTGGACACTTCTCCAAGTTATTGAGTTCCGGTGTTTCTAGAGAATAAGACTGTTAATGCTACAGCATAAAAAGACATTAGACATTTGTGTGCTTCCGGCCTTGTGACAACAGTACGGGGAAGGCCCGTTTCTGTTCTAACATGACTGTGCCCCTGTGCACAAAGCCAGCTCCATAAAGACATGGTTTGACAAATTTGGTTTGGCGAAAAATCAAGCAGCCTGCATGGATGTTCCTAAAAATGGAGGTTGCTGTAGCCACACAAAAAGGGAAGGGGGATCTAAATGAATGTTCATGGTTTTGGAACGGTATGCCCAATAAGCTCATATAGGTGTGATGGCCAGATGTACACACATTTTTTACCCATATACTGCAACCTTAAATGAAGGCAACGGAGTAATGTTTTTAAACCCCCAGCTGACATACCGTCCAGAAAACTCATAAGGGGAAATTAAAGAATGTGTTTGCGCCAACATTTTTTTGTCGCAAGAACAAAATCTCATGCTAACTTTCCGCAAAGTTTTATCTCTGTAATGCGCTTTTTACAAAGTGTTCATGGACAGAATAATGTTTGCGACTCGATGCACATGTGTTGCAACATTTTGCACAATTTCTCAGTAATTGTGACATTAAAAACCCGTACTGCTAATTTACATATCCCATTTGGTTTACTGCTCATTTACATATCCCTCCAATCCCCTAAAACCCCCACTGGCCAATGAGTACGACTGACACAATCAGCAAAAGTCTAGACTACAAATGGCTAAGTTCCATTTCATAAAATTGATTTTTGTGGGACTCCACATAAAATCAGCATCAAGTTATCAAAAAATTATCCGTAATTAAAGCGTAATCACTTTTGGAGAAAATCAATCAAATATCTGCATCGGTGAGCAGCCCAAACATGCCCTCCAGAATAGGGATAGATGGGAAGATCGGTAATGTCTATACAAACAGAAAATACATTCCTCCTTTATCAGGTTCTATACATTCCATTTAAAATGTGTTAAATGGTACATTGCTGAAGGCTGATTACTGACTGCTAAGTACACAAAGCAGCAAGTAAATACAATAAAGGGATTTCAAGAAATTATAGCTTTAGAATCTTTGTGGTTAATAATTTCTGCACACACCACTCATTTACAGTATATCAAGATATGTGTCAGTTTAGGAACTTGACATTAAAAATGAGAATTATGAGGCGAGTGAAAATCACTCAACCTCATAGTTCTAGCCGACCTGTGACAATGAAACTGTCACATGTCGGCTCAATAGATCAGGAAGTGAGCGAACACATACCGTCGCTCGCTCACTTCTCGATCCTGTCCTTGCTGAGAGCCGTGACTGTCACACGCGGCTCCCTGCAGGGACCACCCCCCCTCCGATCCTCCAGCGCTGACTGGCGGAACGGACGGGGGAGGGCACAGCTGGCTCTGCCTCTAGATAAGACAGAGACAGCTGTCAATCACACAGCTGGGTGGATCTTGACAGTAATGTCGGGATCCGTCCCAGCTGCGGAGATCTCAGTATACCGTGAGCTGTAGCTTGCGGTATACTGAGCTTTGGGTGACGGGAGGATGCTAGTTTGCGTCCTCCTGTTACCCTTATGAGAACTATGGGGAAAAGCCCTGACCCCATAGTTCTCCTTTAACCACCTTAGGACCAGAGCTAGGTTTTACATTTTTGCACAAACATGCTAAAATATTAATTTTTAGATAGAAAATTACTTTAAACCCCTAACAATTATATATTTTTCTGAAAGTGGAAGCTCTGTAGAATAAAATGGTAGCTGCATTTTATTATTTTATTTATGTTGCATGATATTTACCAAATGTTTATACAAATCGATAGTTTATAAAAAAAACAAAAAAAAACACTACAATAAAATGGTGGAGGCCAGGTGTCGCATACACAGGCTAGTACAAGCGATCGAGTAGTTCTACAGATCACTTATACATTGCCTGCTGAAAAGAAAAAAAAGTAGCCATGATCTTGGTATAACAACTTCAGAGCAACAACATTTATATACATACAGCGGTCCTGAAGTGGTTAAAGAAGGACTTGGCTAAGACCATCTGCATGAACACTGGACCCAAATAATGAACAATAAATTATTCTTGACATTTTGCTAAGGAGAGCAGCTAACTTGCCAATCAGCATCTTTTTTTAGCTTCATAAATGAAGACAATGTTGTTAATGAGTTATATTTAGACACCCATCAGCTCTGCCATTAGGATTTAAAAACTATAGACATGATCTTTATTTGCATTAAAAAAATGAGTTTCTATAATCCCTAAATAAGCAGATAATGAAAAAAAGATGTAAACTCACCACTGTCACTGTAATCATCAACCAGTATAATTTCCTTTATGAGATGAGCAGGACTTTTTTTTAATACACTGAAATAAAAGAAAAAGAAATTATTATTTTTACAAGTTTATAAAAAATGTCTACATTATGCAATGTCTTCCTATAGTTCTACTAAAAAGAGAAATACAGAATGTAAAAAGGCATTTTATTTTCCCATAGTTTAAGGATGATATAGAGATGCCATGATCAAAATAACACTAGAGAGTGTTGAGTAGTTTAATAAGTGGGTATAGCAAAGCAGTGTTGGAGAATTTAAAGTAAACCATTTACTTGGAAAGGCAAATAATACTAGAGAGCAATACTATACTATAGCTGTGAGTCAGCAGTGGACATGTCAGCCTTCTGCAGATAGACTACCGATCCCACAGAGAGCAAGGGTCCCTCAGTGTTCCGGCAGGGCAGGCTTTTCTACTCTAAGGGCTGTGGCTGCTTTGTAAATAAAACAAAACTAAGATTTTGCACATATTTTATTTTTGATACAGCTGGAATGTATTTAGCTGATTTCATGCCTGAAAGCTAAATTAGGCTTTAGGGCCTGTTCACATGAGTTTCAGGTCCTGATCAGGTCCGGATCTGTAGACGCGTTGCTACTGATGCAGTGCGTTTTGGCCGCGTTCTTGATGCATTCCACAGTGGGGCTGTTAGTATGTTAGCTGCAGTTTGTTTTTGACGTGCTTTGGATGCGTTTGCGTTTCCTGTCCGTACAAAATGTGACATGCAGTATTTTATTTATGCTACTGATGCAGTGCGTTTTGGCCGCGTTTTTTAAGCGTTCCAGTAAAAAAAAAAAAAACTATAGATATATTTTTCCTGGCGTTTCCTGGCCGTACAAAATGTGACATGCAGTATTTTTCTGTCTTAACCCTTTCGCTGCCAAGGACGTATGGCATACGGACCTACTGTCGATTTAAACCTATAAAAAAAAAAATACATGGGCTGCCATTGCTAATCACCTTGTGAAAATGTAAGTTGGCTGGTTATTATGCTGACTGACTGAATGATCTGAAGAGTTGTTCAAAGTCTATTTCAAAAAGTATTAAAACCAAAAGTTAAAAAAAAAGAAAGAAAAAAAAAAAGAAGGGGGGTGAAAAATCCTTATCTGCATACTTGTTCTGGGTCAATGTTCAAAGTAATAAAGAGACAGGCATGACACCCAGGAAGCTAGAATTTTCATTAAGAGGGGTAAGCAGTGGCAGCTGGCATGTTTCCATAATTAAAACTTCTCCTTTAAGAGTACATAGGAGAAAACCTATCAAGAAGCAACCAAAAGATGGTCTAAGGCAGAAGTAGGCAACCTCAGCACCTGCACTTTTGAGGAACTACAAGTCCCTTGAAGCATTGCAGGTCTCCGACAGCCACAGGCATGCCTTCCAGAGGCAAAGGCATGATGGAATTTGTACTTCCACCACAGCTGGAGTTTGCCTACCCCTAGTCCAGGGGTAGACAAACTCCAGCCCTCCAGCTGTGGTGAAACTACAAATCCCATGATGCATCTCTCTCCGGTAACCATGCCTGTGGCTGTGAGAATCTTGCAAGGTCTCATGGGATTTGTAGTTCCACCACAGCTGAAGGGCCGGCCTTTGGCTACCTCTGCCCTAGTCTAAAGTACTCAAAATCAAATTTTTCATATGCTCAGTCAGTATAAATGTCTGACCAAATTTGAGATTTAACTGGAATGTATAGTGGCGTTTCTTATGGCCAGGAGTATAAAAAAAATAAAATGTAAAAATATATTTAAGCCACGTAAAGATACTCTATTGCAAGTAAATATTTTGTAAATTGAGATACAGCCAAGTAAACTAAACGTGAGATTGTAGCCCATCACAGGAGTAAGCTCGGACCGATGGCTAACACTTTTTTATGGCTTTAGATGGAGTGGAGAAGGGTTGAGATGCTCTGTTGGGTTTTTATTGCCATGCGTCTCCATTGGGAAGCTTTACCACTATTTGTAGCTCGCGCTATACTGAGACGCCGCAGCTGAAGCGGATCCCGACAATTGTGCCGGGATCTGCCCAGCTGCGTGACTCACAGCTGACTCTGCCTATCTAACACTTTTTTACTTCTCTGACCCGCTGTCACAGGAGGCTGATCGAGTGGTGTAGAGAGAAGAGCCCAACCTCCTGTGACAGCGCGGGCTGTCTCCGCCCACACACCGCTCTGCCGGACTGTGATAGGAGGCTGAGCGGTGTGGGAGGAGACAGATGGGAACAGAGCTAGAACTATGGCAGGGAAATCTCACCATCTTAAGACATACAGTAAATAACAATTAGACAATTTTTACATGCTCCACTTGTTACTAAAATATAGTTTGGAGCAGACTGATTATGTACTCGAGCACAATCTGCACCGTTGTTTAATGCTTTTCTTATCACACCTCCACAGTCTTTCATATTTGCATTATTTACAATGGCATGGCTAATTCAAATTTTGTGCTTAATTAAGCAAATGAAGCAAACCGCAGACACTTTACATGAGCAGACTAACCATCATTTTTTTAAATTTTGCTAAAATATACCGTATATTATCCAAAGTGTGTACAGCACAAAAGGCAAACAATTCCCAACACTGATGCCCATTATAAATAACAAACGTCTTTATGTTAGACATTTGTGAACACTGCAACCTGGGGGTGTTTAATGCACAATCAAGCAGGCCCCCCTTGGTGCACTGTACTGGTGAAAA